ATCATTCAACTCCTGGCTGCCGTGCTTCTGATCCCACTCCCTGCTATTGGGACTAGGAAAGCAAAGAGGGTAAGAGCAGAGGACAAAGTACCTGGGCCCCTGCCATACATGTGGGAAACCTAGATGGAGTTCCAGGCTCTGAGGTTTGGCCTGGCCCAGGCCTGTCCTTGAAGCCATTTGGGAAGTGAACCAGAGGGTGGAAGATGATCAATTATCTCTGTCTCTATCTCTGTCTCTATCTCTGTCTCTATCTCTGTCTCAATCTTCCTGTCTGTCTGTCTCTGTCACTCTCATTCTACCTTTCAAATACATAAATATATCTTTTAAAAAAATAATATGGCACAGATTTTGGACCTACTTTGGTAGGCAACAATGAGCCACACATAGATACTGTATTTAGTGAAATCTTAGAGGCTTTCAGAACATATGTAAATATCCCACTAGCCCTGGCCAACCCACTGCAAATACTGTTTGCTGAAACAGCATTGTCTCTCCGGATGCGGATGCGGGGGCTGCTTGCCTCCTTCCCTGGGTTAGCTGGGGACCTGCAGCCTCCAGACCCCTGAGCATTGTTCTTGCAGGGGGAATTACAAGGGGCTTTGGAATTCAGAAGAAATCAAAGCAAAAACCACCCTATGCTTTCCTGTGCGTCTTGGTTGTAACAGGAAGAGCTGAGAGGCCTTTGGGACTAATTCACCTTCTTTCCTCGTTCTTTTGGGCCCACGGTGCAGACGTTCCCCGAACAAAGCAGGGAGGAAGGGGCAGAGAGTGAAACTTCTAGCCCCCAGCAGATCTTCCGGGCCCCAGGAGATGACTAAGAGGCTGAGGAACAGTCACTTACAGTTATTTCAAATGTGTTTACTAACCCCCCACACTCTCACCTTGCGGAAAGAGGTAAGAATGGCACTATGCATTACTAACGGGAATCCAGCCTGACACAGTCAGCTGACAAAGCAACCATCCTACCTCCACTGGGTTGTGGGACCACGGGCTGAACCCTCTGCCCTGCTCCCTCAGGCTAGGCCTGGAGTTCTTGACCGAGCTTTGAGTACCCAGCTCAGAAGAGAAGAATCCAGGTCAATCAGGAATGCCTTCCTTAGCAGGGTCACTGAAAATCCATGCCTTGGCTTTTATTTGCTTTTCCTCTGGGTGGATTGGCTGGGACAAGAGGAGGTTCAGAGTGGAGTGTATAAACCCATCACTTACATACAAGAGTGAGTTCCAGATCAGAAGTTCACAAGCCACAATTGTCTTGGTTACTCCCCTGGGATAGGCAGACAAAATGCTGCTGTCACCATTACCATAAAATGATTTCCACATCTTAACCTTGTAGATGTGATTAGTAAAGGATATTGAGATCAGGAGATTATCTAGGAATCTAGGTGGGGACTATGCCAACACACAACATTATAATGACAGAGACAGGAAGGCCAGAGGCAGCAAGGGAGAAGAGTTAACATAGAGAAGAGGGGGAGGCATTGATCTGAAGATGCTAAACATGGAACAGGAGGACACAAGCCGAGGGATACTGGCAGCCTCTCTGTTAGTGGAAACAAGGAGATGGTCAAAGTATGATTTCATGAACCACGCAGTTATTGCCACTCAAAAGAAGTTTTTCTGGGACTAGCATTGTGGCACAGATTAAACCACTGTTTGGGATGCTCGAACACCCCACAACAGATTACCAGTTCCAATCCTGGCTACTTCACTTCCCATCCAGTGTCCTGCTAATAAGCCTGGAAGGCAGCAGATGATGGTCCATGTATTTAGGCCCCTGCGACCTACATGGGAAACCAGGATGGAGTTCTGTGCGCCTGACCCAGATCTAGCTGTTGTGGCCATCTGGGGAGTGAACCAGCACAAGAAGATCTCTGTCATCTCTCTCTCTCTCTCTGCCTTTCAAATAAATAAATAAATCTTTTTAGGAAGTTTTTTCTTAGGCTCACACTGCTTGAAAGGAGGGAGAACAATGCAAAGAAATCTCACGGAAAAGGCACATGATGCATGAGGTACAGTAACCGTGTAGTGAGCTCCAAAATTATTAAAGTCTAATGCTTAATTGGATGGAAGGAGGTCTCTGCAGAATGTCAAGCCTAGTGAAAGCTTTTTTTTTTTTAAGATTTATTTTATTTATTTTAAAGACAGAGTTACAGAGAGAGGTAGAGACAAAGAGAGAGGTCTTCCATCCACTGGTTCACTCCCCAGATGGCCACAATGGCTGGAGCTGTGACAATCTGAAGCCAGGAGCCAGGAGCTTCTTCTAGTCTCCCATGCTGGTGGCAGGGGCCCAAGCACTTGGGCCATCTTCCACTGCTTTCCCAGTTCCCAGACCATAGCAGAGAGCTGGATCGGAAGAGGAGCAGCCAGGACTAGAACCCGCGCCCATATGGGATGTTGGTGCTTCGGGCCAGGGCTTTAACCCGTTGCGCCACAGCACCGGCCCCACCTAGTGAAAGTTTGAAGTGTACGTTTACACAAGTGCTTCTCAGAAGACACTGGTTTGGCCACCAGAGCAGATATCAAATGTCACTGAATATCAATGACATATGAGATCAGTAATTCCCATATGAGGGGTCTGATAAGGTTTGATGTACCATTCCTAGGGGTGGGGGAGTTCACCCCAAGTTCTCACATAGGGGATCTTTTATTTGCTTCTTTTATATTGATAAGTAGAGAGCTGGAGAGAGACAGCTTCAATTCATTGGTTTCTGCCCAAATGTCCACAGTGGCTAGGGCTGGGCCTGGCTGAAGCTGGAAGCAGAAAACTCAGTCTGGGTTTCCCACATTGTTGGCAGGGACCCCACTACCTTAGCCATTGCCGCTGCCTGCCAGCGTGCATGATAGCAGGCAGCTGGATCGGAAGTGAAGGAGCTAGGACTTTACTCAGGCATTTGGGTACGGAATGCGGGCATCCCAAGTGGCACCTTAACCACTGTGCCAAATGTCCACTGCAGGGACGATTTTGAAAATCTGTACTTCTTATTGTACGAAAATGAACTAACCTCAACAGTGAGGCCCACCCCTCTCCATTCCACTATTTCCATTCTTTCTGTTTCCTTCCAGTCAACAAAGGGCAGTAGAAAGATGTTGAAACCTCTTAGTAGGGGCTGGCGCTGTGTGCGCTGTGGTGTAGTGGGCTAAGCCTCTGCCTGTGGTGCTGCCATCCCATATGGGCGCTGGTTCATGTCCTGGCTGCTCCTCTGCTAATGGTCTGGGAAAGCAGTAAAAGGAAGTTCAAGTCCTTGGGCCCCTACACCCACATGGGAGACCCAGAAGAAGCTCCTGGCTCCTGGCTTCAGATCAGCTCAGCTCCAGCGGTTGTGGCTATTGGGGAGTGAACCAATGGATGGAAGACCTCTCTCTCTCTCTGCCTCTGCCTCTCTGTAACTCTGCCTTTCAAGTAAATAAATAAAATCTTTGGAAAAAAAGAAAAGACTCAGTAGTGCAAGGGTTTGACACTAGGTCATTTTTTCCAAGGAGAAAGGGCCTATGGCTCCTCTAGGCTTTTGGGCTCCAACTTAATCATGCTTGAATCCTGTTTACAAAGCAAATTCTTGGGGCAGGCATTTGGCACCCTTGTTAAGACACCAACAAACCACAGAGGAGTGCATGAATTCAATAGCTCCTGACTCCAGCTTCCTGCATGCAGAGGGAGGTGGTGGGGATGGCTCAAGTGTTTGAGTAACCCTGCCACCCAAGTGGGAGACCCAGATGGAGTTCCAGGTTCCTGGCTTCCTGCCTCGCCCAGACTTGGATGTTGCAAGCATTTGGGTAGTGAACAAGTGGATGGAAGACTGGTCTCCTCCTACCTCAACCCTTTCAAGTAACAAATTAAAAAAATAGAAATAAAATATAAAAAGTAAATTCTGGGGCAAGTGCTTGTCCTAGCTGTTAACACGCTGGCCATCCCATACCGGATAACCTGGGAGTACCTGGGTTGGATTCCTGCACTTGCTTCTGACTCCAGCAGCCTCCCCCCCCCCGCACCCCCCTCCCCCCGTCCAATTTGCACCTTGGGAAGCAGCGGTGATGGCTCAAGTACTTGGGTCCCTAACTACAACGTGGGAGACCTGGATGAAGTTCCCCGCTTCACCCACAAGGGGTGACTCACAAGATGGGCGCTCGCTGTCTCTCTCCCTATCTCTGCCTCTCAAATAAATATATTTTTAAAAAGCAGATTCCCACATGGGAAAACATCGAGTGCAATCCTCGATTTCCTTGACCCGCATGCTAACTCTTGTTGGGATGAACCCCTCTTTTCTTTTTTTTTTCTTCTTTTTTTTTATTTGACAGGTACGCAGGCGTGCGGGGAGGCGCTGCCCGGTGCCTTGGCGGTGCACGCCCCCGACCTTCGCTGAGTTCCCAATGTTGCGCACACCCCGGGCTTCGCACGCTTCAAGAAACAGCTGAGGGCCCTCGGCAGGCGCTGCCCTTGGCGGTCCTTCCTCGATCTGAGGTGGATCCCAGAAACCTGACGAAAAGCAACGAGGGTTCAAGTGTCTGTTCCATTCCGGGGCGGGCTGGGCCGCTCCATCGCGCTGTGCCTCAGCTCCGCGTCCGGGAATCGCTCGCCTGCCGGGGCCGCTGCGAGGCACAGCGCACCCTCAGCCCGGCGACCGGCACTTGCCCGCGTGTTTGTTCCTAACGCTGTGCAGCAGAGGGGAGCCAGAGATGGGTGTGACAGGAGGGTCTGCTGGAACCCGACGCAGGTGACCGAAGCAAGGAAGAGCCGGCAAAGGAAAGCGCGCGCGGCCGGCCAGCCTGCGCGACGCGGCTCTGAGGGGCCCGGGCGGGTGCGCCTAGGGGAGTGGCCTGCGGGTGAGCGTGAGCGTGTGTTTGTGTGAGAGGGGTGTTGGGGTGTTCGGGGCTGGGGTCACGGTGAGGGAGTGGCTTTGCGGGCGGGCGGCTGCCGGGGCTGCGGGTGGGCGTGGTTTTAGCGCGGGCGTGGCCACGGCGGCGGGGCGTGGTCTGTGGGCGGGGAGCGTGCGCGCTGACCTGGGCGCCCAGGGTATAAGAGACGCCTCCTGGCGGGAGCTGGCGGTTGCCAGCCTCAGCGAGAGCCGAGGGTATCAGGGAGGAGGACGGCAGGCGGGCCTGTCTTTTTTCAGGTGGCCGAGGCTTGCGGGCTCTGCGCAGAAGGGACGGCGGGAGGCGCGGCCTGGTCTCGCTCTTACAGCCGCTGCGGCGCGCTCCGGGCTCGGCCGACCCGCCGGGAAACGAAGGGCAGGCGGCCTCTCGGCGCACGGTGAGCGGGAGCGGGCCGGTGGGGGGTGCAGTCTTCCCGGCCGCGGAGGGCCGGGCGCCGAACTCGGGCCTCTCTGGACGGAGGGCCGCGGCCTGGGCCCGGGGTTCTCGGGGGGTCTGAGAAGGTGCGTCGGCGGGCGGCTCCAGGCCGAACCAGCAGCATCCCTGCGACGCCCTCGGTGCAGGCCGGCGCATGAGGCCCTGGGCCTGGCCCTCATCCTCCGCAGCCCGCAGCGGCCGAATGGGTAAGGGGCTAGGGGTCCCAGTCCCGGGCCACCGTCGGCCTCCTGCTCCCTCGCGCTGGGGGCTCTGGGACGGCCGGACCCTAGGCCAGGTCCTGCTGGGCCGCGATCGCTGTCAGTACCGCAGGTCGCCAGTCTGAGGCTGGATGCGTGAAAAACCTCTTTGATGCGTTGTTGTTCCTGCCTCCTTAGGAAACCCAGGAGCCCTTGACCTAACTGTTACCTGGTTTGGGCTTCGCTCTTAGTCCCTCGAATGCTCCTTTCCTGGTGAACTTGTCCAGGGCTGCCGAAGACAGCCACGCAAGATGGGGGAAGCGGCATGGGGTCGCGTCTGCCGTGGCTGCAGGAGAACTAGCTCGGGACAGCCAGCCTCAGAGGCTTTCTCTGAATACATGCTGGGGGCTGCAGAAAGCATCCGGCGCTGTTTGTGGGGTTGAGTTAGGAGGTGGGTGTACTAGCGGTCCTCAGGGCAGTGCTTGAGGGCCTGGGTAATAGCGCCAGGGCTTTCTCTTTAAAAACTGACTCATGCTGGCTACGCAGCCCTTTATGCTTTTCACTCCTGGTTACCTGTTCTTTAGTGTACTTTGCAGTACTTGCAAAAGTTGAGAAGAATCGTAAAGACGCCATAAGCCAACCTTCTATCCCTGTTACATCCAGTAGCGATTTATTTTGTTTGATAATGTTTTGGGGGCATGTTTTTTTATCCCAAGAAAAAACTTTTTTTTAAAGTTTAATAGCCTGTTGCCTGTTTAACCCTTGTTAGACTTTGTGCTGGCCTTACCCGCCTCCTTTGTGATTTTTAACTGATTTATCTTATGATTTCAAAGAATCTGTATCTAATAGAATGCAAACAATATCTTTACATTTTAATAAATTACTCAGAGTTCTTAATGCCATTAATAATTTACTGTCCCCTTTGTTACTGGTTCAATTATTTAAGGAATGACTGCACACACTTTTCTTTATTCTTGCTAAATATGGTGAGAGATAAAATGAGATAGCTATAAATAATCACTAGGATAATTCAATTTGTTTTGATTGTAGGAATTTAAAAAATTGGGGCTGGTGCTGTGGCGTAGTGGGTTAAACCTGTGACCTGCAGTGCCAGCATCCCATATAGACACTGGTTCCAGTCCTGGCTGCTCTACTTCCAATCCAGCTCCCTGCTAATGCACCTGGGAAAGCAGCAGAGGATGGCTCAAGTCCTTGTGCCCCTGCACCCACATGGGAGACCTGGAAGGAGCTCCTTGTTTCTGGCTTTGGCCTGGCCCAGCCATTTGGGAATGAACCAGCCGATGAAAGATCTCTTTCTGTCTCTCCTTCTCTCTCTCTCTCTCTCTCTCTCTCTCTCTCTCTCTCTAACTCTGCCTTTCAAATAAATAAATAAATCTTTAAAAAAAGAATTTAAAAAATTTTAAGTGTTTTAAATTGTAATACAATATTAATAGTTTTTATGTTGTTTTAATGTTGAATTGTAGCAATGTACTTTTTTTTTTTTTTTTTTTTTTTTTTTGACAGGCAGAGTGGACAGTGAGAGAGACAGAGAGAGAAAGGTCTTCCTTTTGCCGTTGGTTCACCCTCCAATGGCCGCCGCTGCAGCCGGCGCACCGCGCTGATCCTGGCAGGAGCCAGGAGCCAGGTGCTTTTCCTGGTCTCCCATGGGGTGCAGGGCCCAAGCACCTGGGCCATCCTCCACTGCACTCCCTGGCCATAGCAGAGAGCTGGCCTGGAAGAGGGGCAACCGGGACAGAATCCGGCGCCCCAACCGGGACTAGAACCCGGTGTGCCGGCGCCACAAGGTGGAGGATTAGCCTATTGAGCCACGGCGCCGGCTAGCAATGTACTATTGAAACAGGTTATTCTCTTGATACAACTCTCAGGCTGTTGAGAGCTTAGGTATATTCACTTTAACTTCCACAGTCACCTTTTTTTTTCTTTCTTTTTTTTCTTAAGATTTACATATTTATTTGAAAGTCAGAGTTACACAGAGAAAAGGAGGGCAGAGAGAGAGAGAGAGGGTCTTCCGTCCGTTGGTTCACTCCCCAACTGACTGCAACAGCCGGAGCTGCGCCCATCTGAAGTCAGGAGCTAGGAGCTTCTTCCAGGTCTTCCATGCGGGTGCAGGGGCCCAAGCACTTGGACCATCTTCTTCTGCTTTCCCAGGCCATAGCAGAGAGCTAGATCAGAAGTGGAGCAGTCAAGAATCGAACTGGTGCCCATATGAGATGCCAGCACTGCAGGCGGTGGCTTTACCCGCTATGCCATAAGCGCCAGCCCCAACAGTCACTATTTCTGAGAGACATAGTATTCCAGGTCTTTGAAGGTGGCTATCAAAACAGTACTGTATAAAATTATAGCTTATATTTTGAATGTTTAATCTTTCATTGACAATGCTTTTAAAATGATCACTCAAAAGTCTTTTGACATAAACAATGAGTCTTGGTTTATGTTTTGATGTTCATTTTTGTATTTGTCTTTCCTCTAGCACTTGCCTTTGAAATAAAGTGTTTTTTTTTTTTTCTTTTTGTTTGCTTAGCTTCCTGGGAGTTACTGATTATCTTCTTTGAGGAATCATGAAGTCACCCTGTGTCATCACGCTTACCCTGGCGGGGCTGATGTTCCTGATGTGGCTCCCGGTGTCACTGAGCTGCAACAAAGCACTCTGTGCCAGCGACGTGAGCAAGTGCCTCATCCAGGTGGGATGATGAGTGTGTTCTTAGTGTTAACTGTATTGACAGCAGATATGAAATGGGCATGTGTATGTGTGTAGAATTATTGGTATGTGTGTATCAGGGTCTAAGGCCCAAGTATAGGTCAGAGCCTCAGGTACTAGACCATGGCACACTGGTCTGTATTTTTATATTCTCTTGCATATAAGCAAGCTGAGATTCAAGGAGTTCAGTGAGTATCATATTCATATTCTGTTTTACATACAAGATGATAACCACTATATTCAAATGAATTAAAGCATTCCCTTGTATCACCTAATTTACATAGCAATGAGGCTCAATGACTATATTAAGAAAAAAGTTGGTCAAATAATAGATTGTACCCTGCATTTAACATATTAGTTATCTATTTCTGTGTAACTGATTACCCCACAACATGGCACCTTAATACAGTAAACATTTATTATCTCACAGTGTCCGAGAGTCCAGAATCAGGGAGCCATTTAGCTGGGGGGTTCTGGCTCAATCTCACAAGATTGCAGGCATGTTGGTGGTTGGGATTAGAGAATCTGCTTCCAAGATACTTAAATTCTCTCTCTTCTAATCCCCAAAGCAAGCCCACTATGTAGCTACCACTCTCATTTTCCTAGGAGAATGTGAGTTCAGGTGATTTGGCAAGATCCTTGGGGCCAACAAGTGCCAGTAGAACTTGGTCTGTGTTTGACTCCAAAGCTCATGGCCTTCCCACTGAACATACTGGTTATGATTCCTCATAAAATTGTGATAATTAATGGTAAACTTCATGTCTTACATAGCTGTTCTCTTTTCCCATCCTATTAAACCATCAGCAGTCTTTTGCCTTTTGTGTGTCTGTCTTTATTGGCCTCCCTCCGAGCCACTGGCTGTGGGCTAATAAATTCAGTCACACATGTGAGCATTCTGTGACCATCTGAGTCAGCGAACTCTTGACTGTAATCCTTCCTTGAACTAATTGTGTATACAAGTATGCGCTAGAATGGTAATTACCTTCATTGATCAGAGTCATTTTGTTCTGATTTATGACATTTTAGTCCTCATTAAGAGTTGAAGTTCTAGTTACCACATATTCTGATAACCCTTACTTTGCATTTTTATCAAAACATTTAACTAGGGAAGTTTGTTGGTTGGTTTTTAATCTTTTTACTTTGGACATTTTTCAAATATAAACAGAGAAGAGTGCCTGGAATCATCGTGAGCAGTTAAAATGGTCACAAACTCGCTGCTATCCCTTTTCATCTGAACTCTCCTACACCATCCCCTTCAACTGCGCTTTAATTTCCAGAAAATCCATGATAATGATTTTATCCATATTTCTAAATGTATCTTTAAAAAAGGAAAACTTGGGTTGGCACTGTGGTGTAACGGGTTAAAGCCCTGGCCTGAAGCGCCGGCATCCTATATGGTCACTGGTTCAAGACCCAGCTACTCCACTTCTGATCCAGCTCTCTTCTATGGCCTGCGATAGCAGTAGAAGATGGCCCAAGTCCTTGGGCCCCTGCACCCATGTGGGAGACCTAGAAGAGGCTCCTGGCTTTGGATTGGCGCAGCTTCAGCTGTTGTGGCCAACTGGGGAGTGAACCATTGGATGGAAGACATTTCTCTCTCTCTGCCTTTCCTCTTTCTGTGTAACTCTTTCAAGTAAATAAACCTTTAAAAAAAATTAAGTAAAAGAGGAAACTCTTTGAAACAAAGCTATTAGACCAATATCACAAAAAAAGTAACATTAAAAAATAATGATTCTCTAAAGTTCTCCAATCATTTACTTTTTTTAATTAATTAATTTATTTGAAGGGCAGAGTTACAGAGGGGCAGAGAGAAAGAGAGTTTTTTTTATTTTTAAGATTTTATTTTATTTATTTGAAAGAGTTAGAGAGAGGTAATAACAGAGGTCTTCCATCCACTGGTTCACTCCCCTGATGGTTGCAACAGCCAGAGCTGCACCAATCTGAAGCCAGGAGCCTCCTCCAGGTCTCCCATGTGGGTGCAGGGGCCCAAGGACTTGGGCCATCTTCTGCTATCCCAAGCCATACAGAGAGCTGGATCAGAAGAGGAGCAGCCAGGACTAGAACTGGTGCCCACATGGGATGCCGGCACTTCAGGCCAGGGCTTTAAACCGCTGCGCCAAAGCACCAACCCCACAGAGAGGTCTTCCATCTGCTGGTTCACTCCCCAGATGGTTGCAACAGCCAGATCTGGACCAATCCAAAGCCAGGAGCCAGGAGCTGCTTCAGGGTTTCCCCCATGGGTTCAGGGGCCCAAGCACTTGGGCCGTCTTCCATTTCCCAGGCCATAGCAGAGAGCTGGATTGGAAGTGGAGCAGCTGGGACTTGAATGGGCACCCCTGTGGGCTGCTGGCACCACAGGCAGCAGCTCTACCTGCTATGCCACAGCGTCGGCCTCCAATCGTTTAGTTCTGTACGTGGAAATTTGATATGGTGTGCCTGTTTAAGCTTGTGGTGGCGCCAGATTTTGTCATCTACATACAAAGCTCAGAAGCTCCGCTTAGTGCTATGGTCAGATGGGCAATCTCTGCCACTTCACAGGTTTTATTTATTTATTTATTTATTTGAAAGGCAGAGTGAGAGAAAGAGAGACATCTTCCATCTCCTGGTTCACTCCCCTGATGACTGCAACTGCTGGGGCTCAATCAGGCTGAAGTCAAGAGCTTGGAGCTCTCCAGCTCTCCCACATGGATGACAGGGGCAAAAATACCCGAGCCATCTGCTGCTGCTTTTCCAGATGCGTTATCAGGAAGCTGGATTGGAAGCAGAGCAGCTGGGGCCTGAACCAGGGCTCTGATACGGAACGACAGCATCCCAGGCAGCAGCATAGTTCACTGCCCCATGACGCCAGGCCCCCACGGATTGTTTCAGTATAGCTTCGTTCATTACTAAAAATAAAGTCTTGGGTGGGCATTGTGGTACAGAAGGCCAAGCCATTGATTCGGACACCTGATTCCACATGGGAGTGCTAATTTGAGTCCCAGCTATTCCGTTCCAATCCAGCTCCCTGCTAATGCGCCTTCGAAGCAGCAAATGGTCACTCAAGTGCTTGAGTCCTTGACACTTACCTGGGAGACCCTGGTGGAGTTCTTGGCTCCTGGCTTCAGCCTGGCCTAGCCCTGGCTATTGCAGGCATTTGGGAAGTAAACCACCAATAGAAGATCTCTGTCACTGTCTCTCCTTCTCTTTCTGTCACTGCCTTTCAAATAAATAAATTTCTTTTTAAAATAATTTTTTAAAAGTCTCAAAGCAGTTGCTGGATTCCTGTTTAGGTGGAAATGCACTTAAATCACAAGATTCTTTTTTTGACTCTCCAAGTCTATGATTTCCATTAGTACCAATAAGTATTTTATTTGTTTGCAACTAAGCTTGTTAACACTCATTAGTACCAATAATTAAAAATTATCTTTTATATAAAATACCTTGCTTTTTAAGAGAGTGTAAAAAAAAGAGAAAGCTCTTGATTAATATTGATAAATGTGCTCGGAATTTTTTTGCTCTACCTTTTTAAAATTTTTTAATTTAAAAAAAGTATTTGTTTGTTTGAGAGGCAGAGAGCAAGAGCTCTTATCCACTGGTTTGCTTCCCAAATGCCCACAGTGCTGGGCATGTGCCAGGAATTCAATCCAGGTCCCCCATATTGGTTACAGGGACCCAGTTACTTGAACCATCACCTGCTACCTCCCAGGTCTGCATTAGCAGGAAGCCGGAGTAAGGAGCTGGAGATGGGTATTAAACCCAAGCACTCCAATATGGGATGCAGATATCCTAGCTGGCAACTTAACCACTAGGCCAGATTCATGCCCCTGTTTTACTTTTTAATTTTTTTTAATTAATACTTAATGATGGTTGGCGCCGCGGCTCATTTGGCTAATCCTCTGCCTGCAGTGCCGGCACCCCGGGTTCTAGTCCCAGCAGGGGCGCCGGTTCTGTTCCGGTTGCTCCTCTTCCAGTCCAGCTCTCTGCTGTGGCCTGGGAAGGCAGTGGAGGATGGCCCAAGTGCTTGGGCCCTGCACCCGCTTGGGAGACCAGGAAGAAGCACCTGGCTCCTGGCTTCTGATCTGCACAGCACTGGCCGTGGTGGCCACTAAGGGGGTGAACCAACAGAAGGAAGACCTTTCTCTCTCTCTCTCTCTCTCTCTCTCTCTCTCTCGCTGTCTAACTCTGCCTGTCAAAAAAAAAAAAAAAAAACCAAAAACAAAACTTAATGATTTCCTCAAAAAGTAAAGCATATTATGTAAGTATAAAACCTGGAAAAGTAAATGTTTCGCCTAACTCAGACTCAGACAGTGATCGTAGTAAATGAAGGAAGCTAGACTTGATTTTTTGGTCAGCAGTTCCTAAATGCAGACATTCTGAGATTCCTGTTCCGTCTGAGCCAGGAAGTATCAAGCCTTTTCCTAGAGGAGTGGATACAACTGTTCTAGGGCGTAGTAGCAGAGCACCTGGGCTTAACATTATCAACAGCTCAAGTGTTGAGGATTTTCTTGTTCATTTGTCCACACATACTTATTTGTCTTTGAAGTGAAATGTCACTCACTCCACCATCTGACTGGTTTGTGCACCAGAACTCTAGCATGTCACTTCATATTCTGAGTGTGAGTTTCCTTGTGTTCCTCTTACCTGGAAACAATCTCCCCCATCAGTCAGTGGCTGAAACAACAAAAACAACATTTATTTTGCTCACAAATTTGCGTTCTGAGCGGGCTCAGTGGAGTTGCTCATCTGCGTGCAACATGACATTCACTGGGCATTAGCTGGGATGGCTTGTAAGCTGGGGGCTGGCACCATCTGAAGCAGCTAGAACCTTCTATGATGATGGAAAAGATCTACATCTGCCCCTTCTATTCAAGGAGACTGCCGCAAGGAGCTGTTGAGCACTTAAAATGTGATTGTGGTTGAAAACTAGTGTGGTTAAAAAGCTGATATCTCAATTTTATAAATTTAAATAGCTACATATGGCTATTAACTACTGTATTATCAAAA